CCCCCCCCCCCCCCCCCCCCCCCCCCAGTCATCACCTCCGTCACCCTCAAGACGTTTCCCAAACCTCCAGTCGCGTGGAGTGGCAGGCTAATATTTCCAGCAGAGCGCTTCGTCGAGATTGCCGGAGCGATCCACAACTACACCTCGACAAATGAGGATGGACGCGCAGGCATCCTGTTTGGCAGTCTAGCCCCACCGCCCGATTTTCAACCCATCACGCTCGTCGTTCCGGTCTGGTTTGGCAGCGCTGCGCAAGGAGAGGAGCATTTCGATTGGTTGCTCAAGCTCGGTCCGCTCGTCAATCAGATGATGGAGATGAGCTACGAGGATCTTGGAAAGCTGCAGGACAGCGGAGCTACGCCCGCCGGTGTTCTGGCCGCTTGGCAAACCAGCGTCGTGCCGAAAGTTTCGGACGAAAAGACGGCGGCTGCGGCGTTCGAATGGCAGGGTGAGCTGGTAGCCAAGGATGCTCGATTTGGCGGGACTGTCTTGCTCTTTGAGCCGTTTGTCAAGGTTGGTCCTTTCGCTCGAGGGGTCGGAGCACTCTTGACTCTAGGCTCACTAGCGATGACGGCCGCCCTTTGCTTCCCTCTCTCCCCCTCTCCCTCCCTCTCTCTTTGCCCGACAGAACGTATTTGCCAATGTGGACGACTCGACTGTAGCCTGGCCTCACAAAGGGGAGCACATGACCGTCATTGGCCTCATGGTCCTCTCCCCCGATCCTACTTTGACAGGCGTGCCCGAAGCGCTTCGAGACGGCGTATCTCGCATCGCCGCAGCGGCACCTGCAGGCGTCCACCCGCAGTATCCCAACTACGCCTTTTTGCACGGGGAAAAGGCAGAAGACTATTATGGCGCCAATGTGCACAAGCTGCGTCTGATCAAGAAGCGTTTGGACCCTGCCAATTTCTTCAAGGGGACTGTCCCGCTCGCCTGAGAGCGTTCGCTACCTTTTACAGAATTCGCCCCAGTAAGCCTTGCTTGCTGCAGATCAATCTGTGCCACACCCATGCTATCTCTACACACGACACTAGATTTCGCAGATGAAGACGATCACGCAGTCAGAAGCGCTTTCTCGAATATCATTCTCATCGCAGCTTTCTCTTGACAAGATTGATGGACGACCAAGACTTTTTTTCCCGGAATGTCTGGTTGGTGCGTACGGTCTACTGAGCGATAGCCGTGCGCGATGGCTGTTCTGTCGCGCGTTCCTGTGGAAGCGAGCCGAGCGAGCGAGAGCAAGAGGTGTGATTAGAAAAGCAAAAAGTAGACTTTTAGCCCCGCGAACCTGCTACTTGCCTGTTCCTTGTTGCCGCTGCTCGCGGCGGCGGCCGCCACTTTCGCTCAAGGCCGGATCAAGCAACTATGCTGCTCTCCACGCTCATCGCATACCCTCCCCCTGCGCCAAAATTTGACGTACCTCGCAAGCTTTCTCAAGATTCCGCTCGTATTGCGCCTCCTATCGCGCCTGGGCCAAACATCGAGCTGAGGACCTTTGCCGAGATTTTTGAGCGCCTTGCTCACCGCTTTGGCTCGTTTTTGCGCCTCCCACTCCCCGTCCGAGTCTGTGCCGGAGTTGCCGGTGCAGCGTCGGAAGAGGGAGGAAAAGGAGCGCAGGGAGCTGGTGGTGCGGCGGGAGAAGAGATGAGAAGGGCCAAGGGGAGTGGGAGTGAGGTTGGCAATGCTGCAGGGATCGGCTCGGAGGAAGAGGTGCGAAGTTGCGGTGCGAGAGGGTCTTGCTTTTGGAAGAAGAGCAGGAGACGCTTGAAGCTTGGGCTTGAACTGCAAGTCGGAGCGCTTGTGCATCGAAGCGTGCTCATCATCTGAGCCCTCGGCGATGATGAGCTGGGTGCACATGGCAAAGAGGAGCAGGGAGACGATCATTTTGATGTGCATGGTAGGCGCGCGCGCGACGTCCAGCGTCGATAGAGTTTAAAGATTCTGGCTGGAGGCCCTGTTGGCGCGAAGCAGCGATGCCGCAAAAGGTGATTTGATTTGAGTACTTTTTTTAATCCTTGCGGCTTTTGCGGATACATGCGGAACGGACGGACTCACTTGATGAAGAGAAGGCGATCTTGAAAGTGATGGGGGAGACCTGTCAAAAGAGCTTTTGCGAGGGGAAGTTTTGCGTGCGCATGCATGCTCCTCCCACCCGCAAACCTACAGAGCTACTTGTACCCCCCCAGCAGGACTGCTCGCGTGCTCCGTTCGCCTTCTATCGTTTGCAGTGGCGGGCTGAGCTGGACTTGCGACCTTGATTTCCGGGTTGCGAAGGGCTTGTGCAGCTGCTTGGATCGCTCGCTCTCGGTGCCAAACGCACCTGCGTAACCCCAGCTCCGCGGAGAGGAGGAGCCAAAGTGCTCCGCCCGGACGGAGCGCAGGCGCTGGTACGCTTTAACAGAGAAAAGGGGGGCAGCAGCCACACTGATTACAAACATGTGCCACACACAGCGTCCGCCACCTGCTTTGCCACTTGCCGTGCGTGGCGATCGAGAAGCGCAAGACTTTGTCGGGGGGAGGAGCAGCGCACGGTAAGCAGTATGTTTCTGATCAAGCAGACAGCGAGCGGAGCCCTCAAGTCGCACCCACCGTCCAACACTCTCGCCCTCTTCTTACGAATTGCTCCCTCCAGTGAAGTCGCGACTGGATCGGTGCACGCGCGCACACGCTTCAAGCACCTGACTTGGCGCACTAATCATGCATGCGACCGGGCCTTTTGCTTCCAACGTTGCGAAGAGCGGTAAGCCAGATGAAGGGCCTCTTCTCTTCTCCTCCTCGCGAGCAAGACGCACGGCGGCCGAGAGGTACGAAATGCCAAAGTGGGGGAAAAGCGCAGCGCGTTGAGCAAGTTTGGCCCGCGCGGAGACCAATCGTAAACACAAAACGCCCAGGCGTTTGAACGGCTCCGTGGGGCGTTCGCAGCATGGTGGCGTTGCCTGAACATCTTGCACATTCGGCAGGCAGGCAGGCAGGCAGCGAGCGCAGCAGGGGCCTTGCAAGATGGGTCATTGACGCGCGCGCGCAGGAAGTTGTGGCGGCTAGGTCCAAAGTGGCGCTTGACTAGTGGCCAGTCAGCCTTGCCCACTCTTGCCGCTAATGCTGAGGTGATGCTTGGGCGTCGCCAGGATATTGGCTGGGACGACAGCTTGGAGACATGGTCAGCAGGAGCGGCGAAAGCCAAGTGCCGATATGCGGAGTGGGGCAGTCAAGACGAGCGCAGATATTGCGGGCCTGCTCGACTTGCCGTA